CTCACTAAATGGCATGCAAGCACGTACCTTGTGTTGGCCAAGAGATACCATCCTTTCCATTGGGCAGTGGGTGCTCATTTGGCTCAGCTCTGCAGTGAATCCCTGGGCAATAACAGTAAAAGCAATGCTGCTGCTTATCAGGATGAGTCTGTAGGGAGCAATCATAGCCTTTTCCACTTACCCGAACCACATTACAGTTATGCTTTAATCACTTATTAATTACTACAGTGTAGGCTTAAAAACCTGCATCTCATCAAGTCCAGCTCACACACCTGGAAGCCCTCTCTTTCCCATCCTCCAAAACAGCAATCCAGAACCAAAGTGAGCAGGTTACTTCCTCGAAGTCAACTCCTTGATTACCTAGATATTAGATATTAGATATTAGATAGGCAAGAGATGTGCCAACCACTAACAGCAGCCACAGCTGATGAGTAACTGTGATATTGGTTGAGCTGAGTTTGAAGAACTTAGGCATGCCAAAGGAAATGATAATCTCTACTGCAGCTGCTGAAGAGGTGACCATTAAACAGAGATAGAAGGTTGTTTTATCTTTTATGATAGCTCCTATAATGATCAAAGAGAGGGAGAAAGGAATTCAACCCCTTTGGAAGGGACTTCTGGATGTTCCTGAACAAAACGTCCACTCAGAGCAGGAATTAAATTACATTAAACTGAAATACAGCTTCAGTGTTGAATCAGGGTGCTCACAGCTTCTCTTCTTTGGGTTCAGAATTTCTCTCAGACACCTCCAGGCCTAAGAAGCAATGCAACCATGGATCTCCCAGAACTCATCTCCTTGTTGTGCAGTAGATCATCCGGTGCTTGCACTTAAGTGAAAGTGTTGCCTTAACTTACAGGGATCTGTGAGAATAGGCACTCAAAAGATGAACCTCTAAGTGCATTCTCCAACAAGAAAAAATAAATAAATACCTGCCTACGGGTAAATAGAAAGAACTCCTCGTTCTGCAACAGAAGCACAAAGTTAACTGATTGTGACTGAAACAAACAAACAAACAAAAGTTTTAAATATTTCAAAGAATCATAGAATACCCTGAGTTGGAAGGAACCCACAGGGATCACTGAGTCCAACCTCTGACCCCACTCAGCACCCCATAAACACAAACCCTATGGCTGAGAGCAGCACCCAACTCTCCCTGAGCTCTGGCATCTCAGGGCTTTGCTTACTGCTCTGCAGAACTGTCCCAAATATTCCCCCTACAAAAGCAAACAGCATCCCTGTACCTTTCCCATCTCGCCTGACCTTGCTTCCAACAGCCACGCTCTTTATTTTTCCACCTAAGCTCTAGGAGATCCCTGTTCAGCCAAACCAGCCAATGTAAAGATCTATCTTCTCTGCTTTAATTCACAGCATAATACGCTAAGGCATCGGAGCTCTGCCTCTGACTCACACTTTGACACTGAGTGGAGAAAGTGTTGAACACCAGTATAACCAGATTTGGGTGCCTGAGGGATCTAAGCTGGGTAAAGTGCTTCAGTAACAACTTCATCATGAGAAAACTTCCACCAGAGCTCAGCGAAGGACTAGCCCTGATTTCGGAAGGTTTGAGGTAGTCTTTCAGTACGTTTTTCTCTCCAAGAAACTGAGGTTTCTGCTGAGCACGGCACTAATTGTTTCCTGTGCAATTTAGTACTAACAGGAAGTCTCTGTAATAAACACAGCGCCCTCTGTGGCAAATACCTGGAATAATATACAAGTAGGTTATAAATATATCTTTATGCATGACTGTAAAGACAACTGATCAAACTAAAAATGAACATATATATATATATATAGTCCTTTTGCACGCAGAAATGAAACTGGTAGTTAAAAGAGAGCTGAGCATCAGAATTCAGCATATCCCATGAGGTTCTAATCTCACAGGGAAAAAAAACCCATGCGTTCAATTTTTCTCTCCCATGCAGATCAGGAAGAAATGGAAAGTTATTTAAGCTTGTAAAAATCTTAGAGTCAGAAATGTGGGTTTCATTTGTATAATTCAGACCTGATGGAAGCATTTCAAGATGCACATTTTTTTCCTGAGACCCCCTCATCTTGCCTACGAAAATTGTAGGTGAGTGTGGTCATGGCTCAAGCAAAGCATGGAAAGTTTTGGTGTTTTTTTTTTCCACCCTTTCCGTGTTGCATTACATGAGCAGTATTTGAATGCCTGACTGTTCACCTTTCACGTGGTGAGGTAACCCAAACCACTGACACATTTAGAGTAGACGAGCCTGGATTTAGGGTCAGGCTGGTTTAACCTGACCTTCCGCCTCCTTACAGGCTTTTGAAATCATTCTTGGTTCTAAAACTGAAAATTTAAGTGACCCACTTTGAATGGATATTTCAGTAAATGGCATTAGAGAAAATCCCTTCTGAGGGAACCTTTTCTGTTAACCTGTACGTCTCTAACTCTAAGAGGGAAACTGAACTGTACATGTAACCTTTCAGCATCTTCTAAACAAGCTGATATAGGTCATGGCTATTGCAGAAGCTGCAAGCTAAATTCTGCCTTTGTTGACATCCTCCTTTGGATGGCACAATGTGAGCAAAATTTGGACTTGGGATTAAGTATTAGGAACACCTTTATGTAATGCTTTCATCTGCAGACATCACCAAAACTAGACCTGAGAAGAGGTCAGACCAGCACATCTTCTACACCAGGGATTGCTTTAGGGTACACCTCCCAGCAGCTTATAACCTGCTATTAGAGCAAAGTGACCAGAAGTCATTTCCTAAGAGGGAAATGCTACAGAGAAGAACAGATACAACACTCCTCCCCTCGTTTCTAAAATGTAAGCACTTCCTTTAAAAATCTTAGCGTCAACACTCTTGTGTGCGTCCATTACTAAGTCTCCGATCAGCTTCTGAATAACCTCATCAGAGAACACAGATAGCTGACTTCTAGTATCTCATACTTCATCAGGATCAGCATTATTACTTGGGAAAACTGCAGTCTGAGAGGTTTGAGATACCTGCGTGCCAGTGTGCTGGGTGGAACATTCTTCTCTGGGAGGCGTTGAGTTGTCCAGGTTAGAATCATAGAATTGCTCAGGTTGGAAAAGACCTGAAAGATCATCAAGTCCAACCACAACCTAACCGTACTGCCCTAACAACCTTCTGCTAAATCATGCCCCTGAGCATAGCATTAGCTACGCCATGACATATTTGCTAGGGAGAACAAGGAGGAAGACTGTAGGCTAGTGGCTGGGACATTTGCTTGGAAAAAAAACCTCAAGTTTCTGGTTCCTGCTCCAGTACAAGTTTTATCCAAAATGTTCACATCCCTACTTTGCTGCTGAATGGAGCAACTGCAAAGCTCTGAGCTCTTAACAGAGGACATGCAATGATTCCACAGGAGCACCCTGCCTCACAGTCACCCATAGAGCAACCAAAAGATTTGCTGAAGAGCCGTTGGTTTAAACCCCTGAAAGCAGATGAGGAGAGTTTATGCAGACGCCTTTCTGCAGGCAAGGTCTCTTTGAAGGTCAAGCCCACTACTTTTAATGAGCAGTCAAGGCTTCCACCTCAGAAGAAACAAAAACTGAGGCAGTTGTGATAACAGCATAGGGATGAAGCTCAGGTAGGGAATCTCTCTGAAGCTGGCAGCAGAGTACTAGGACTTCCCTTTTTAAGTTTCCAAGGCATTCAAAGTGAGAAGGACAGACAGCTTTCAAGCATCTCTGAATGTCCAGGCCTGCAGCTCCTTTACAGTACCCTACTGAAATTGCTAATTCCTCAACAGGAGAAAGGGATCCTGATCAGGACAGAGCCTGTCCACTCAAACACAAGGATTTAAGCATTGTATGTTTAAATACTCCCATGGTAGGACATGACACAGCTGCAGTATGCTGGTCTTACAGGGATGGAAGACAGCAGTGTGGGCTGACGAACCACACGGGGTCGCAGATCACTGTCACCCAAAATTCAGAGCTGTCATACGGACAGCCTTGGGGCTACATGATGAGAAGCAGTTCAGCTCCCAATATTTTCGAGTGTTGTAGGGTATCACCTATCTTCCGTGGTGCCCCACAGAGCAGATGCCTGCAGTTCCTTCCACCTCTCCTGCCTACAAGAGTGGCCATTTTTCATCTCATAGCATTCACAGGGATTTTTCTTGAATCTCTCTGTCTTCTCCCTAACTTAGGAACTGAAGGTTTAGCTACATCCACCACACCTCCTGGAGACCTGTTTCATAGTGCAAGATCTGGAAGTGAAGTAAAAAGTTGGCAATCAAATAAAAGCAGCCTTTTGGGCTTTGTTTCCTAGATGGAGGGCGATGGATGAAGTTTGGGCACACACTGTCTGAAAACGTTCTAGTCAAAATTGAAATGTAACAGGTGAGGTATATACATCCAGTATTAGATATGGAGGTTGGTGGCCCTGCCAGAGGCAGAGGGCTGGAGCTTGACGATCCTTGAGCTCCCTTCCAACCCAAGCCATTCTATGCTTCTATGGTATGATTCTATGTATAAAAAATAAGCTGATCCAGACTTGGAAAAAAACCTGAAAAACTGGCTGTCCAGCACTGCCCAATTCCAAATGAGGAGCCACCAGAATGACCAACAAGTGTCTGTGATGCTACAGCACCTCAAGTCGAGACCACGAAGCACGCTTATTTACATTTGATAACCAGCGACTCCAGCCCCAGTTCTAAACCTCATACTTTGCATACAGGCGCTGAGGTGTGCATGTCAATTTTTCAGTGGTTTTCTAACATCAGCATGGAGTTTTGTCACTACACAGATAAAGCAATGACATCACTTACAAATCTAAGAAGGGGAGGGACCTGTATCCTGTTTTCCACCTGCGTTAATGGAATATACACATCTACTTTTCAATTTAAGACAAGAAACCACTGGTAAGAGTGGGAAAAAACACCTACTCCCCTTTAACTAGGACGGCAGGAAAGCCCTTATAAAAAGACCAGCAGCAGATGCACACAGTCACCTTCAGTTCGACAGAGCCCAGCACAAGCATCAGCTGCAGCAAGAAAAGGAAGATGTCTCCAATCCCTTGTTCTCCTTTGGTAAGAACTTGCTCTGTGTTTTATTTTCCCCTAATTTGACAAAGATGTACTTAATAGATGACTCTCAGCAATGGGGCACTTGTTTTTAAAACAGCTGTTTGAACCTTGAGTTATTGAAAAGAACTGAAACAGGAGGCTGCTGAATAGCACCAGCATGGGACACACTGCATGGGTCTGTTAGCACACCATATACTGCAACATGAACTAAGACAAGGAATAAATTGAAAACTCAGCCCTAGAGTAAATTTTCTTTGTTGCTATACTCTTCTAATACCTCAAATATATTATTTATTTTTTTATTTATTATTTAGTATAACCGAGATTTTATATACCACCAAGTGGCAACTGACTGTACGTTGGTGTCCGTAAGAATTAATCCATGCAAAGATGAATGTGATACAGGACAGATTTTTCCATAATCACCCCAGCCTACAGTATGAGCTTTCGCTACCAGCTAGGATGAGTGTGAATGAATTTCCCAGACTCACAGAAGTATTATTAGTCGTGTGATGCTATAGCAGCTATGCTTTCCCCTGCCCTAAATGCACCATTTCTCTCCAGTTCAGACCATTGCTGTTGGTGCTGCTGGCCGTGCTGTCAGCCAGCATTTCTGCCCATGGGAAGGTGATATGGCCAGGACTTGAGCCAGAGAGCCTCTTCAAGAAAGGAGATGCTGGATGCCCAACCCAAAAAGATGGAAAATTCCCTCAAACTGTGAGAGTCAACATAAGCATCAGCAACGTGAACCAGGATACCAAAGTGACTCTTGATATCAGCAAACGCTCACTGGCTCCATGGGATTACAGGTACTGTGTCCGTCCCTATGGACTAGAAATGCACTGGGTTAAGAGTAGTGCAGAGGCTATGCCTGTATCTTTAGTTTAAGTACTTCAGTACTGAGAGATTTTGGCAATGTAAGGATAGCCACTGTCCATATAATCCTTTTTGTAAGCTAATTGATGAATAAAGGGGGATAGAGCAAAAGTATGGTATAGGCCAATATAGAAGGAAAAAAAGTAAATTATCCTTGTAATTTAATTAATGTACCTACTGGGGCAAGGTTTATCTTCAAATGCATTTGCCACTTAAGAGATCATCAAAAAACCTTGGAGGTCTGACACGCACCGAAGTCAGTGGTGCTTTACTAACAGCAGCATCAGGCCCTAAGAGTGTTTGTTGTGGGGAAGAGCTGAAGCTCTTTGGGTCCATTAGTCAGGCCCACTTCTAACTAGTTCTCCAAAGTCAATGCCTGTTTGAATCAAGCCCTTTGCACGCAAGTCTTGCAGTCAAAAGCATGCAGTGCTTACTGATACTTGTACTTCAAAATAATAGCAGAGGGTCTTCTGCCCCTTCACAGGCAATATTCCAGGGGTTATGGGTATCCACCGGTGAGCTCATAAAGCTCCAGACTAACATACCTGTAGCAGTGCAGCAGCATTTCCCCTGCCAACGCTTTCCTATCCTTCCATGTCAATCCACAGGATCGATGAGGACCACAACCGCTTCCCCCGCTTGGTTGCTGACGCCCAGTGCCGCCATTCCAGGTGCGTGAACTCGGCCGGGCAGCTGGACCACAGCGTCAACTCGGTGCCCATCAAACAGGAGATCCTCGTCCTGCGCCGCGAGCCGAGGGGCTGCCAGCACTCGTACCGCCTGGAGAAGAAAATGATCACCGTGGGCTGCACGTGTGTCACCCCACTGATCCAGCACCAGGCCTAAGGGGAGCCCGCAGCACGAGAGCGGGGAGCTGCAGGAGAACTGCCTTGCCTAACAGCAACGAAAATCCGTGGGGCTGAACCATCATGATTAGCAGTAATCTCAGTTTTGCGCTTGTCTTGTTTTTAAATCCGTTTCCCCTTTGAAAGTCTGGATTCAGACTACAGCCCCTTCCACGTGCTCTGTTAGAGGAGCGACAGGAACGCCTTCACAGAATCACAGAATCACGCCTTACACAACTTTACTCGACACTTTGAAAAGCCTATTTATTTAATTCTATTTATGCTGGTAAACCTATTGTAATTATCTATGTTTATTTATCTCCAAGCAATAAAGAAAAATCAAACAGCAAATCAACTCTTTGGTGTCGTCTCTTTCTGAAGAAACTTTTTCTCATATGGCAAGAAATCACTCCGTTCTATTATCACAGAATCACAGAATCACAGAATTGTAGGGGTTGAAAGGGACCTCCAGAGATCATCGAGTCCAACCCCCTGCCAAAGCAGGTTCCCTACACCAGGTAGCACAGGTATTATTGTATTATTATCTTTTATTATCTATTATCTATTATCTATTATTATCTATTATTATCTATTATTATTATTATCATTATCTATTATGACCATACAAGGGATTTGTGCAATACAAAAAACTGAAATTCCGTTGACAAAACCTAGCTCTGTTGCAGTAGAACGGGAAGAACACAGGACAATTAGCACTCGTATCATTAGCATTGCTTTACCCATAGAGAAAGAAAAGCACCTGGGGGGGAAATAATTTACTGAACAACACTTCAGCAAAAATAAAGCCACCAGTGACTGCCCAGTTCACTTCATTATCTGATTGAAAAGGAGTTGTCGAGGGAATGTTCAACACAACACTCTGAACGCTTCGCTGGCGGAAAAGAAACCGACTCCTCCAAAATGGAGTATAAAAGTTCACTTTTCTACCATGAAGCTTACCTTCGGTTGTTCCTGCGTAGGTAGGGAACGGAGCATGAGTGAGGCAGGTGGATCACTGGAGTCATCGAATGCTGCTCAGAGAAGATGCACACTGCTAACCGCAGCGGTAATTTCCTCCACGCTCGTGTCCTCCCAGTGCTCCAGATATAGAGAACACTGACACAGCACTTCTACACGGCCGTGAAGACTCTTGTGTAGGTGGGAACCTCACACTGCAGGAACGTACGTTTGAAGGAGCTTGGTGAAAATGTTCCACGTTTTAATGGAAGGCTGGTTTGCATGGACATGGCTCTTTGCTTTGCTGCCATACGGGGGAGATGTGACCTTCCTGGGCACCAACAAGAGCAACAGGAAGTGCAGAACTTCAAAAAATGCTCAGGAATGCAGATGGTAGAATCATAGAATGGCCCTTTGAGCAGGGACGCCAACCAAAGACCAGGCTGCCCAGAGCCACATCCAACACATCCCAAAGGAGGCAGGGTCCTCTTGGGTGAAAGCATCTTCTCTACATCCAGCTGTGCTAATTGGAGATGTTATCAGCCCAGCTTTTGCTGGAAGTTATTCCCTCCAATGAGCTCAAGCCCTCACTCATCAGCTCTTGGCAAAAATCAGGTGCATCAACTTATACAAACTAATCTGACAGCGCAGCCAGAGATTCCATACCGTTGTTTTACTTAGCAGATACTCACCGGGCTTGTGAAACATTAATTAACCATAAGTCACACAGAATGGCTTGGGTTGGAAAGGACCAACCCATCAAGTTCCAACCCCCCACCACACACAGGGCCACCAACCTCCCCATTTCATAGCAGCCCAGGCTGCCCAGGGCCCCATCCAACCTGGCCTTGAACACCTCCAGGGATGGACGGGGCATCCACAGCCTCTCTGGGCAGCTGTTCCAGCACCTCACCACTCTCATAGCAAAGAACTTCCCCCTGACATCCAACCTAAATCTTCCCTCCCTCAACTTAAACCATTTCCCCTTCTTCTGCTATCATCTACCCTTTCAAAGTCATCACCTTATGTGCAGCAGAAACAGTGAAGTTTTGTTCACAGCTTTAATTACCACCACTCAACCTGATATAACATTGCCCATATGAGGGTATTTAGCAGTATGCAAGATCCTAACTTGCTTGTTTCTTACCTTATCTCCAACAGTTCCTCCTTACAGTCTGCAGCAGGTCCTGAAGTTCACCCAGCTGGATGTACCAGGAATATCAAGCACAGGAGCAGACTGCAAAAAAAAAAAAAAAAACAAACAAGCAAACAGCAAGGAACATGACAGCGTTCTGTCTTTCACAGGCCTTTTATCACTTGGTAGAGGCAAGAAGATTAGCTGGGGTTGGCACAGAAGTAATGCAGATTTATTAGCAATTCTGAGAGAGCGACAATGTGGAAAAAGTCAGAACCAGGTCAGACAGATGAAGTACCAAAATGCGTACAACTTTCTGCTGCAAAGATGCTGCAGTCCCTCTTCCAGCAGTGTCATTATTCCTTGGACCATTTATCAACCCAATGAAATCCATTCCTTAAGGCACAACCATCTTGATACAACTTGACCTGTATCAAATTCTGTAATGTGCATGGATGTTGTACATGCTTCTGCAGAATAGAATCATAAGGTTGGAAAAGACCTCTAAGATCATCTAGTCCAGCTGTCCACCTATCACTAATATTGCTCAATTAGAAGCAGTTAATATTATGGCTACAATCATAGAATCCTTTGAGTTGGAAAGGACCTTTAAAGGCATTTTAGTCCAACTCCCCTGCAATGCACAGGGACACCACAGCTAGATCAGGTTGCCCAGGGTCTGATCCAGCTTTGCCTTGAAAGTCTCCATGGATGGGGCATCAACCACATCTCTGGGCAACCTTTTTCAGTGCCTCACCACCCTCACTAAAAGTGGTAAAAGGTAACCTATTACCTAAAAGGTAAAAGATTTTTTCCTTATATCTAACCTAAATCTGCCTTCTTTGGACTTGAAACCATTTTCCCTTATCCTACCACCACAGGCCCTGCTGAGGAGTCTGTCCCCTTCTTTCCTGTAGCTCCCCTTTAGATACTGAAAGGCCACTATCAGGTGCCCTGATAGTGCTGCCCAGAGAGCTGTGCCCCATCCCTGGAGGTGTTCAAGACCAGGCTGGATGAGGCCCTCCACAGCCTGATTTAGTGGGTGCCAACCCCGTCCATGGCAGGAGGTTGGAACTAGATGATCATTGAGGTCCCTTCCAACCCAGACTATTCTATGACTCACGTGATTCTGTGATCTGTGTGGCAAATGATGAGATATCCATGCTCATCGGTGCCCGTTATCAAATCAAGACACAAAGATGCCAGATGCCTGTGAAAGATGAAAGATTCAACACTCTGGCAAACATTTCTATGAGAAGGGGGCCAAGATAAGTGAGCATAGTGCAGATTTCAGAAGTCTGAAAGAAAAGGAAAAGAGAAAGAATAATAGCGGCAACTGAGAGAGAAGATAAACCATCTCTGCTGACTTACTGGAACAAGAAATCTTGACCTTGATACAAAAAAATTGTGCTTAGTAAGGATGGAAATAAAACAGAAACGTAACTCTTTGTACATGAGAGTAAAACCATCAAAACTCACTTCTAGAAAGCTACGTCCAGACACAGCTGAGTAGAACCTGCTTGGTACATGACCCCAAAGAGCATCGAGGGTATTATTAATATTACGGAGTTACAAAAAAGAGAAGAAGAAAGACTAGGCTAGATTTCTTGCTAGGAAAATTAAGAAAGGGGCAAAAAAATAGTGGCAAAAAGCAGAAATGGAACTGTGCTGTAGAAGATATCATCTTGGCCCACTCACCTAATGTCTTCTAAAGCATACGTTTAAAAATAGCATGAGAGAGGAAAAATGTCAGAGGAAGAAGAAGAAGGTTAAGGGGCAAGGAGGGGAGATGGAGGCACGTCTCACATTTTGTCCTGTGATGGGGACATGGGTGCAGTTTCTGTTCTGGATCTCTCCGGTCACCTTGCAGTACAGCCAGGACCCACAGCTGGTGTGGAAAGTCATCTCCTCATCTCTATTTACTGTGTTGGCACCAAACTGTAGATACCCAAAGGACTGGTCAGCAAAGTGTTCATCCCTCAGAACTTTGCCTGTTAGTTCTAGTTCCCAGCAAGCCATGACTGTTCCTGGATTTTCAAGTTACTGCTCCTCTGGTTCATTAAGCACACAGCTTGCACAGCTCCCCGTTTGTCCCCTGAACCCTTAAGGCTGCAACACCTGTATTTTTCATGTATTTAATTTCTGTTGACTTTTAGAAGTAGAGGTTTTGAGCAACAAGCAAACTTGGAGGTTTTCAAAAGGGCTGCAAGACCAAGAACCTCTGCCTGTTGTTAATGGCCCAGAGAAGCCTGGATCACACCAGCAGGAAAATACCTCACAGCACAGATTTGGGAAGAGGTTTTGCCTGGGCTGCTGTGCCTCTGTACTAAAACAGGGTTGTTCATGCTTCCTTCACCATCTCATGAAAGCTGCTCCCCAGATCGAGCTCCCAGCTGGGCACAGCCAAGGGCAAGCAAAAGGACAGCAAGAGGAGGTTAGAGAGAGGTGAGCAGGAGAGCAGAAAGGAAAAGCTCAGACACCAACCTGTTAGCATGGGTTGCTTAGCCCAGTGGGATATGAGGAGACACTGTGGAGCTGCTTCTACGCCTACAGCTGTGCCTTGTCCTCCTGGCACAATAACCAAGTCCCTAAAGGCTGCCCTAAGCTCTATTTCAGAGCCAGATCCACAGTTGTGCTGGGAGTAGAGACGACGACTGACCCAGCACTGAGACGGGTGCACTGACTAAAGGAGTGGATTGCTGCCAGCAAGAAAAATAGGTAGAGCCGTTAGCAAAATCTGGTCCTCAGCTTCAAAGTGTATCATCTGCTCTTGGTGGTGAGATGACTGTGCTGCTTACAGGAAGCGTTGATCTCGTTTGCCCTGTTCTTAGATTGCTGGGAATCAAAGCCAACCTACCTCACCTTAAAAGCCAGCAGCTGCAAAACGGCTCTCTAAGAACGATGCCATT